AGCCAATACCTAGTCAATCTGTATGTTGAACAAATTATTTAAGAACTTGGACTCTAGGAAGAATGAGGCATCAGAGTTGGAAGAAGCCACATCAATAACCTTTGGTATGACGATGACAATTTTGCTTGCTTAAGTGAGGAGAATTTGAAACACTTGCTGCAGAAGATCAAACACTGCAACCTTCAAGATGGATTGCATCTCAAAAAACAGGAAAACAAAACTCTTTGCCACTGAACCAATAGGTCCTAATAGTGGAGGAAAGATTGAAACTCAGTGACTTCATCTTACTTGAATTAACAATAAATATCCTTGAACCAGCAGTCAGGAGATCAGGAGACATTGCACTGGGAAGTCTGCAGTCAGGGACCTCTTCAAATTACTTAAGGAGCAATGATGTTAGTTGAGGACTAAGGTGCACTTGATTCAGACTATGGCCTTTCAAAGACTTGCTATGCATCTGAGAAATGGACAATGAATAAAGATAACAGCAGTGTTGGAGAAGAGACTTGAATATTTCAAAAAGTTCTATTTTGGAGAAGGTGCAGCCAGAGAGCTCCTTGGAAACAAGAATGACAAAATTTGGTCTCACATACTTTGGCATGTTGCTGGTAAAGGCTATTTCCTGGAGAAGGACATCATGCTTGAAAAGGTGGTGAGACAGTGAAGGCGAGGAAGATCCTCAATCAGGCGGAATGACATAATGATTGCTGCAAAGGGCTTGACTGTGTTGGATATGATGATGATGGCGGCACAGGGTTTAGACTGGCTGGTCACAAGATCGCCATGAGTCGTATTTGACTTGACAGCATCTAACAACATTATTATAATACAGTCCATCTAATACCCTCCAAGGTCTGCAGTTGGATCTGTTCCCTAAAGTTGACAATCAGACCCTGTTTTCCAAGTCTTATTTTGGTATAACTAAGGAGCTCTGGTGGCTTATTGATAAGGAGTTGCACTGTCAACCCAGAAGTATGCAGTCTGAATACAGCAGCTGCTTGTGGGGAAAATGATGGGCAATCTGCTAGATTTACTGCCTCTGAAAACCTGCAGGAAGGTCAGCTCTGAGATACTGTCTGACAATAATATATAACTTAAAATTTGAGAAATTTTTATTATTAAAATATCAGATGAACAATGTAATGGACATAACAAAATTTTAACTTTTAATGTGGGAAAGTATAAAATACATAGAACTACAGACACTTAACTACTGAATAATTTGCTTTTATTTAAAGAATAATAGTGCTTGACTAGGCATCAAACTTCAGTTAGCTGGTACTGTGCTATTCAATGACTGCTGCCTTCAATAGGGATTAAACATCTCAACATCAAGAAAGCAAAAATCCTCACCATTGGATCAATAGGCAACATTATGATAAATAGGGAAAAGACTGAAATTGTCAATGATTTCATCTTGTTTGGATCCACAGGCAACAATGTTGGTACCACCAGCAGTCAGGAGATCAGAAAATATAGAACATTAGAAAACTATGCTGTTAGGGATCTCTCCAAAGTCCTGAAGCAATGCCAATTTAAAGACTAAGGTGTGCCTGATTCAAACCAGTCTTTCCATTCACCTTCTATGCATACAAGAGCTGGACAATTAAGATGAAAGGAGAGTGTCAGTGTATTGGACTTATGGTGTTCGAGAAGAGTGCTGAACATCCCACAGACTGCCGAAAGTACAAGCAGCTATGTCTTGGAGAAAGTGCAATCAGCGTGTTCCTGGGAGGCAACGATGGTGAAACTTCATCTCACCTATCTTGGACACGTTGTTAAGAGAGTCTGTGCTTGAAAAGGGACATCATGCTTTGAAAGGTGGGAAGTTGGTAAAGGATAGGCAGATCTTCAATATGAACTGATACATTGTCGGTGGCAATGGATTAATATATGTTGAGGATAAGGATGGCACAGAACAGAATTCAGAGCAGTTGTTCATAGGGTCACTATGAGTCGTATTCGATGACACTTAGCATGCTACTCGAAGCCAGCTCTGGTGGCCTTGTAGATAGGGTTACGCTGCCACTAACAGGTAGGTGGTTTGACTCACCACCTGTGCTGCGGGAAAGAGATGAGCAAACTCTTTCCATACGAGGTGCAGCCTCTGAAAACCTGCGGGAGGGTCAGCTGCGAGCCAGTTCTGTCTCGATGGCAATGAGTAAGTATACAATGTTACTCAATTATGGTCCTCAGACAGCAATGAGTTACGCACAGAAAATGAGAACAAGCAATTTCACACTGCTCTAATACTTTCATGGAGCTCTGGTGCCCTAGCTCATAGGGAGCTGCACTTCTATACCCAAAGGTCTTACTTCTCAAGCAGCTCAACTCCACCAAGGGTTCCAAAGGACAAAGACAGGCCATCTCCTCCTGTAGGACTTTACAGCCTTGGAAATTCAGTGAACAGTAAGGAAGGAATTGTTTCTGACTTAACAGCAATGAGTTGTTATATTTTTAAAGATTTTGGTTTTCAATTGGGGTGGTGGGAAATTGGATGTAGGAGATGACAAAATTCTAGCTCTTCACCTTGGGCAAATGGAGACACACTAACTAGAACATCCCACTTCAGACCATCCTACCCTATAAAACCAACTTAGGACACATCAAAGAAAAGCTTATTTTACAATTATTTATGAAATTACTTTGGATACTGGTACTAATCCTAGGGTGGTATTTACATGTACCAATATTTAAGGCATCACTTTTATGGCAACAGTTTTATGAATAGACCAGTTTGCTTTATATTTTTCCTGCATTTTCTTAAATTTCCTATGCTGAGTTTAGGCCCGTACCATTCTGTATATGCTGAGCATTTACCCTTGTTCCCTGACTCTTCATTCTGTAAACATAAAATTATTCTCAAAGCACCATATATTCCCGTAAGTCCTGTTGGCTGTCTCTTCTTCTCCTCATCTCTCTATTGCCTTAATTCATGAGTTATCACTTAGCCTCTGGACTGATACCTTTGCCTCCCAACAGTTGGTAGAATGATTTTCCTGAGACAATCAGATCAAATTTCTTCCTTAATTCAAGCTACTCAAGGTCTCCACATTACTAAAATAGTGTCAAGGTGCCAGGATAAACAAGGTCTTCTACCTTTACCCTCCTATCTTTCCAATACCACAGCGGCCACCCCAATGGACTATCCCCTTTGCCCTTAACATCTAATAATATCTAACACAATGCTATTAATTTTAGCTCTGCTTTTGTATCTTGTGCCTAGAATAATGTCTTTATCCTTCGTGATACAGAATGGACTTTTTTTTTGAAGGAAGCTTTTCTTGATCGTAGCACCATAATACCAATCAACATTGCCTAGGATGTGGCAGATGTGGTAAATAACTTTATCATGGTATTCATCATTTAGCACTGCCTTTATATTTTCATATCTAGTATTTGTAGCAAGCAGAAAGCAAAGGGATGCTGGGCTGTACGAGGAGGAATGTGGCATCAGTATTGGTGGAAGAGTCATCAACAACCTGCGTTATGCAGATGACACAACTTTGCTTGTTGAAACTGAGGAGGACCGAAAGTGCTTGCTGCAGAAGGTTAAGGACTGCAGCCTCCTCTATGGATTGAAGCTCAACATCAAGAAAACAAAGATTCTCACACCACTGGGCTGACTGGCAGCATCAGTATGGATGGTGAAGAGATTCAGATAGTTAACAGTTTTAGTTTGCTTGGCTCCACAATCAACACTCTTGGTAACAGCAGCCAGGAATCAAGAGACGAATTGCATTGGGGAAATCAGCTGTCAGGGACCTCTCCAGAGTACTGAAGAGCAACAACATCAGGCTGGAGACTAAGGTGCACCTGATCCAGGCTATAGTCTTAGCAATTGTGTGCTATGCATTGGATAGCTGGACAGTGAGTAGGCATGACAGAAAGAGAATTGATGCCTTTGCTGTTGTGCTGGAAAGAGTGTTGAATATACCATGGGATGCTAGGAGAACAAACAGGTTTGTCCTGGAGAGGGTGAAGCCAGAATGCTCCTTGGAAAGGCACATCATGCTTGGGAGGGTGGAGGGACAGCACAGAAGAGGAGGACCCTCAATGAGATGCATCGATTCAGTGATTGGGGGAATGGGAGTAGGTGTGTCGAAAACAATGAGGTTGGCACGGGATAGAGCAGGGTTTAGGGCTCTTGTATATAGGGTTGCTATGAGTTGTAAGTGACTCAATGGCACATAACAGCAACAAACAACAGTATTCGTAACTTCACTGAAGAAACCTCTACCTAAATGTATGTTGAGATGAAGCCTGGGTCCTGGATGGAATGATTTTAATGTGATTAACTTTAAATCTAAGTTTTCAAACTATGTAGTGTCTTTTTGTAAAACAAAAACTCAAAAAAACCTTATGAACTGGACCATACAGCATTGTCACTTGTTAAAACCTCATGAAGAAAAACAGGGGGGGGGGGGGGGGGGGGGCGCAAGGTGAGAAGGAGCTCAAAATTATGGTACTGATTAAAAAGATAATCCAAAATTAAAGGTAAACATTATGCTTGACAGAAACGTCTATCATCACTGATGAGAACAAAAAAAATCTAGAGAACGGACAACTGTCCTTTTACTTATTATTGCCAGTAACTTTATGCTTAGATTTCACCTCTATTCCTCTTTTGCTGTCTTCGTGCAGCACACTAACCACCAGAGCTAACACTGTGTAAAAACAGAATCTTTGATTTCTTGGTCACATACTTTTGGCTTCACCTTTTTTCATGCTCGAGGGACACTAACTGGAACATAGTAGGGCATCTAACACGAGGCTCCCGGTTTTTCCTTGATCTATATTGGTAACAACATGGCTTCTCTTTCACATCAGTGGTACGGTTCCCACTGAGCATCACTTTACATAAGACACTGTCATGAGTCAAATCAGACTTTCTAGTGTGGTATTTCTTCTCAGAAAAATAGAATTTTTCTTTCCCATGCTTTGGTTTTGAAACTCCCCAATTTTCTGTAGTAATAGAATTTCACACCCATGGAAAACTGTTTTTAGAAACAAGACATATTAATACACCTAAGTCTTTATTTATTTAGCTCTAGGAAGAATTTGCATGAAAACGAGCCTATATGGCAGGTACAGAATGTACTGTAACAGCACCAGAGGGTACATCCTCTCTGCTCTACAGAGCCCCAATGTTTAATACATACATGTGACTTTAGTAATAAAATCAGATTTAAAAAAAAGAGCCCTTTAGGGGGAAAATATCAGCTTAAAGTGTTTTTTAAATTAACCATTTCTTTTCATATACTTAAATTTGAATAATAGATACATTCAGAGGCCCAAATGTTGGCATAGAATAAAATCATGTTCATTTATTTTTTACTGCATTTTAGAATTAGAAGGCATAAAATTAAATATGTTGAATGTAATAAATTCATCCATACAAGTGCAAGTCTCCAGCTATAATGTATTTTATGGCAGATTTATTACTTTAAAAATGTAGGAGTAAATCAAAAAAGAGGGAACATGTCCATTTAACTTTTATTGATGTGTATGTATGTCTTCAGAAATAAAATATGAGCATGAAGATATGGCCAAACATTAAATCTATCAAATTCAGTGAAAAGTTGCTGACTTTAAATAGTAGTTGTAAGAATGACCAATATATATTCTTTGTTAACAACCCCTCATTCTACAGTAAAAAAAAAAAAATAAACATTCAGTAAACATTCTTTCCTAAGGTAGTTTCCCTTATATATCAGTGATTTATCCATTTCTTTGTATACACAAATTTGTTGAACATACCAATCAGTGGTTCTCACAATTAAAAAATAAAAGCACAAAAAAGTTTACACTCTTGTACAGGTAAAATAAAAGATCACCTTGAATTAATAAACTGGATCTCCTTAAGGGCATAGTATAGGTTCAATTTCATTACCTAATACATAATTAGTTTCTTACATACAAATATTGACATATTTGGCTTGTGCTTCAAAGCCTCTGTGTCTAAGAAGTCCATGTCCAGGCAGCTCATAACTGGAAGTCACTGGGGAGCTCTTTACTGCTGCTGGGTCTGATCTGATCATGCAGTGGGGTCTGCTCAGCACCCGCTGTGGCACTGCTGCACATCTCCGAGGCATCGTCGGCTTCAGGGTCTAAGCCTTCAGGGCACGGAAGTTTGAGCAGTTCTTCCCGGAGCTGAGCAGTATGACGCTACACAGGGGGAAAAGAAGTCTGTTGTTACAACAGTAAAATCTGGAATTTTAGCTCAAGATTATTTGAGGAAGGAATAATTTACTACAAAACCTGAAACATTAGTCTACAGATATTATGTATCACTTTGTGCACATCATTGTTACAGGCACAAGGTATAAGACAAGACCAAGGGCAAAAAAATTCTAACCTCAAAATAATTGCAGCTGCTTTGGAAAATAAAAAAAAATACTCCTGCAGATATTACTGCTTTATTTCTTTCCTGCAGTATTGGATTACCCATAAGCAAGTTAAGCAATGGCAATTTTACACATTAGAAAAATAATATCAAAGATTCTGCTTCCAAGTCTGGCTAACATCGCTCTCTCTCCCCCAACTCTACAACACCTTCATACAGAATCAAAGCCTCTTTTCAAATTTACAATCCCCAATAGGGATGGAGTGCCTATTCAGCAAGATAAGTGTGGGCTTTCCTGTACTTGCTTACTAAGCTATACACAATTCAGCTGAGCAATAAAACAAAGTCCTGTGTATCCATCAGCAGCGTTTATTCTCATCTTGTTCCACCTGTTTTCTCACCACCTTCTCTGTCTCATATTATGATGAAAAAAAATGCCGAATGTACAGTTTTCCATTTGTAAGTATTTCTATATGCTTCCCAATGTAATAAGGATTCCTTTTAAAATCATATCCATAAAATTCAATAAATCTTGATCGTGATTTATTGATTTTAAGTGGTATTATTCATAGAGTTAGAAGCATGTCAGTAGGCTAGGAGTAAACAGAAATGGGGGAAAATCTCTAGAAGATAAGGAAAAAGAATTGAAATGGTAGAGGATGAAATGAACATGAGTAAAAATAATTCTGAAGAAGGGGGGAAAAAGGGTAAATAAGAAAACTAATGATTCCCACTTATGGAAAAAAATTTTCGAAACAATCACTTTTTTACAAGATATGCTCAAACGAATTACATTCAATGAATGGCCAAATTAAAATACACCTATTTGCTTTCAAAAGTATTAAATTTGTATCATAGACATTGCTACCAATTGGCCACTGGAGGCTCTGCCACAGGCACCTCCCTCATGAGAACAACACGGTAAAGGGATCCCTGGCAGCTTAGTGTGAAGGAACTGCGTTGCCAGCACCAAGGTTCAAACCCACCAGCTGCTCTGCAGGAGAATAGGCAATCTCCTCCCTGTGATTTACTGTCTCTGAAAACCTGTGGGAGGGTCAGCTATGGGTCAGTCTGACTCTGTCGTACTCAACCACCACCACCACCACAACAACAAAAACAGTAACAACACAGAAAAGAAACCTAAAGAATGAAGGTAAAAGAAGCCATTCATGGAACACATCTTGCCAATATAATCTTCAAAAATTTCTAAAAACTTCCTGGCTTGGTCCCCTTCAGTGGAAACTTTTAATTTCAGGAACTATCAGTTCTTTTGTTTAAAAGGATTTAACTGTTCCATAAATTTTGAAGTAGTAATTTAGGCCTCTCAAACAAAAATAAATTTTGTATTCCACTGAGAGATCATTCCATTTATAGCAGCTGGATGGTGCTCTTTCTTAATGTGATCACCAGAGCTAATCTTAGGAAGGGCTACCCACCTTGAGAGCCGCTGCATGGTGAGACATAGTCCTGCCTACCCGCTTGTCACTGCTGTATTGCTGGATGTCTGCGATCCATTCTTCACACTGGGCCATGATCTCAACTCTTTTCAAGTAAAAATGTTTGTGTATAACCTTAAGTAAAAAGCAAACAACAGAGGAAAGCGTATTTAAAAAACATAGCAATGCTTTTTCTGTCTACAAAATCCCACATAGTATTACAAAAGGAATGACAAAATATTGTGTGCTTCAGAGAACAAAGAAATGCGTGTTTCCATTTTGTATATTTCCCATGACTTTTCAAAGTTAAAAAGCAAGAATCTACAAAACCCAAATACCCATCTTTGTCATTAATAAACAACTAGACATGTAAATTAATAATGAAAAAAGAAGAGATACTCTTTTCACGTTTCATCAGACCTTGAGACCCATATTCATCAATACTTTTTAGTGAAGATGATGACATGTTTCAATGCTATAGAAATATTCATGTATAATATCTGCATCATTATATTAAAGATCAATTTTCTTTCACATAACTCTGTTAGTATCACCTCTAATATGTTGACTTTGTGACATAAGTGAAGAAAGTGATGAATAAGGGTAATAATTTTTAGAAAGAAAGGAGAAGCTCTTAGGACTGGTGCTTGAAACAGGTTCTTCTAGGTTCAATAATGGCTAATGAAACAAATCCAGAACAAACTCAAATCTCTAAAAATGTAATCTCTTGGGAAATAAGGGGCAGGTATGAGTTGCACAGCAACCAAGTCTCGTGATCAGCAGTCAGAAAGGGTAATGCTCTACTCAAAGGTGGAAGGCATTTGAACGTGTATTGCTCTCTAAAGTCTTAGCAATAACCCAAGCTCCGACATCAGGCTCCTGGACTCACTACATCTCGTCTAAATCTCCCACTCTAGGTTTTCAAGTCCTAATTTTTTCTTCTGGTTATTATGCCATTTCACTAATATTAAAAAAATTTAGGTCCGCTCTAATTTCAACGTGTTAGTAGTGTCTGATTGGTTCAAATCAGCTCAAAAGCCTTGCTGAGGATAAAGTACAGCAAGCAAGATCTGCTGATGAAGTAATTTAACATGACAACTGATAACATGTCTATAGAGAGACAATCATAGGAAAACAAGTGGTAGTTCAGACTGAAATTAACAGCTCTTGGAAGTATAGAGAAATTCAGAAGATGTTGCACTTACTGGATTTCTAAAAATCTGTCTACTTTTTTATCATACACACACACGTTAACAGATGGACCAACTTTCTATATGCAAGAAAATTTAACAAGTATCTTGAGTTTAGAAAAGGGTAGTGTTAGGAGGAACATTTCAAATGTCTTTCAGGTTTTAAAATTCATCTGCATTACAGTGTTATAGAGTTTCTAGGATTATTAACACTAAAACCAGCAAAATTAAAAGTTAAAAATAGCAAAGTTAAATGTATCACATAAAAAACCCATGAATCAAGTATAATATTAACAAATATATATTCTCTAAGATCTTTAATAAAATATCTTTCTGAACATACCTCTTTAAAGCAAGGGGAAGGGTTTCTGATTTGTTCCAGCATTGCCCACCTAACCGTTGCTTGTCGGATGTTGCCATCGTATTCCCGGGAACTCTGTGTGCCGCTGGGAGTGCCTCTAGACCGTTCATATCCTGGTTCATTAAAATAAGGCTCAGCTACTAAGATAAGGGACTGAACAGACACTAGCACCTAAGGAAAAAGGAACAGAAGAGTTGTAACTGGAAATTTTTACCATGAATGAGAGGATAACTAGTTTTATCAACCCAGACTTTATTTTTAACATGTTACTTTCATGTGTCTTAATCACAATAATATGGATATGAATAACTGACATGGAAATATTTTCTTATATAAAAAAATAACAAAATAGTCTGCTAAACGTCCCTTATCCAAAACAGTGTAAAATTAGCCAGACGCTGTCTGCAACACTCACTTATAGGAAAAAAGATGCACAAGACAGTCAGATTTTTATTTTAAGGAAAATATTATATTACAAAAATATTGGGATCTTTCATTTGGTAAGGTGATCTGCTGGCTCTAAAACTAGACCTCAGCTCCCCTTACAGAAGAGGAGGTTTGTTTCCCCAGGTGCACACATGTAGGGCTGTTGTGTGCCAAGGAGTCAGAATCAACTCAAAGCTGACCCTCTGGTGGTTTCGGAGACCGTAAATTGCATGGAAGGAAAACAGCCAATCTTTCTCCCATGGAGTAGCTGGTAGATGCAAACCACTTGCCTTTGTGTGCTAAGAAGCATAGCTTCTTACCCCCCAGCTCCTGGCCCAAGAGCAGATACGGTTAAATATGACATGAAGTGAGGGTGCTAAAAGGCTAAAGACAACTATTAAAACAAACAAACAAACAAACAAACAAACATCTACGTATATTTGATACAGAGATTTTAGGTTTCTGAAACAAATATATATCACTGAAGAAAATTTGGGTATTCTTTTTACAATTAAAATCTATTATCTCTGAAATAACAATGAGGGCACAGTCATGGCACATTAAGTGTTGGGCTGCTAACTAAAGGTTTCACAGTTTGAATCCACTAGGTGCTCTGCTAGAGAAAGATGAGGCCATTAAGTTTTTTACCTAAAAAAACTAATAAATAAAAGTTTTCAGATTATAGCCTGCCACTTGGCTTAAAATGACAAAGGAAACCAAAAGAATAGATGTTTCCAGTACCAAAAAAAAGGAAAGGACACATGAGAAATTGAGTTCAGTATACCTTAATGTTTGCTGAGATAAAAATATTGGGTTACATGGTTAACAAGAAGTTAATCAGTAGGTGGAATTTTTTGATGAAATACTTTTCAAATATTCTACCATCTATAGCTGGAATAATTTTGAAGTAATAACATCATTGGGATGAAGGCGCTGAACATTTTAATTGGTTAAATATATAGATCCATTTTCAAATGCTACATGTCCACCTCTATGAAATAAAGCTACTGAGCAAAACTGTATTTGCAGGCTTATTTCCAGGCTTTCCATTTTAAAAATTAGATGGTTTTGTGCAATGGCTGGCACTTATTTCTGGCATAATACTGATGAAACAAGTGTTCTGAAATTATTCTACATATTTCAAAAAGGAGTAAGAGAAACATTGCCTTTCTAGAAATTTAAACGTGCATATTTTCTCTTCAGTGAAATGTTATGAATCTTTCTACTGAAGATTTTAAATCTTTTTTTAAATTTGCATTGGTTTTATTACACTCCTAGAAAAAGAATCCCAGGATTTTTCTTCCAGTGTGTTTTCGTCTTGCTTCCTTGTGGTCCATGATAGCAGCTGCGGTTGTCAGTCCAATGAACCTGAACTGATGGGACGGGAAGAGATTATTCTGCCACTTTTCTAGATCTTTGAGCTACACTTCAAATGTGGGGCTGATAATGCTATACCTGTTTAACCTGTCTGTGAGATTGACAATCTTCCCTGCTCTGTGATCAACAATGATTTCAAATTCATCAATGCTGCATCATCACTGTCAGGAACTGAACTATGACCTTGGAGCACAGCCTGATAAGAACCTGGCACTTGCCTTTCTTCTTGGGATTGTTGATGTTCCTGCTCTTGAGAGTGTCAGCCAGGACGTTCATGTGCACCACTGTGGTGGTACAGAAAGGTGGCGAAAAGACGAAGGGAGGGGAGAGTGCACGAAATTATGGAAGATTTTCATCTTAAGCTTCCCATTGTACATGTATGTGTACTTCCTACCTTGCCATGCGTTTTGCAAACATCAGGTAGTTTAAAATTACATATCATTTAAGCAGTAAAATGTATTTCAACATCTGTATGAATGTTTTCCATCACTGAGTTATTGTATTGCTTTCCTGTGTTTAGGACATTAAGAAAATATTTATTAACGAACAATGATCTCAGTTGGAGGCTAATAAAGAGAAAGACTAGTTTTTATTTCTATTTTGTCTAAAAATGAAACAATTAGGATTGTAGTAATTTAATCTGGTACACAACAAATTCAGTAGAGAAAGTACTTTTCTCTTTAGCCATCTCAAAACTGCACAGCTCTCTTATGATAGCCCTTTGAAGGGGAAAATACTTGTTTAACCAGTAAAACAAAAATTAGGGTCTTTGAACTTTTCTCTACTAATATACTTTCTAGTGGTATGTACTGATTACGAGCAAAAATCTAATCTCTCTTCAAGTAATAAGCACTGTGAATGTTGTTGTGTGCTGTAGAGCATCTGAACAAATGATCAAAGCCTTGTTTCATCCTCACAATCTTTGCCATGCTCCATGTCTAGTGATGCAGTAATTGTGTCACTCTATACTGATGATGGTCTTTCTTTTACTTTTCTCAGGACTGGCACCTCGAGACATAACTAAAGTATGTGAGATAAAGATTCACCATCCTTGTCTCAAAGGATTAGGCTGGTTGTACTTCCTCTAAGACAGATTTGTTTGTTCTTTTTTCAGTCCAGATTCAATATTCTTGCTAAAAGCAAAATTACTATGCATCAATTCTTCTGTCTTCATTATGAATGGCTCTATAAAATGGTTACCATCATAAAAGAATAAAATCTTTTACTGAAAGATAAAAGTTGTCCATTAATTTTTGTCTTTAGTTTGTAAACGTATTATCAGCTTTGCACAGAATGTGGGGTTCTGTGGGCTCCTCTTTTTTAAAGTCACAATCTATTTAAAAACTGTCTAAAATATCTCATGCTATTTTATACTTTAGTTTCATAAAGTCAATGGATATCTGGCATATTCTTTACCATTTCCTTGTTTAGAATTAAGCTTCAGCTCATTTTACACACACACACACACACACACACACACACACACACACACACACACACACTCTCTCTCTCTCTCTCTCTCTCTCTCTCTCTCCACTATCTTGATATCTATCCATTATGTTGTTCATATGGCTCAGCAGAAGAAAACACTATTAAATTCATTCTGGAAAATGTGTAATTCTCTAAATTGTTTTGGTGGTCCTTCTCATCACTTCCTTCACAATAGCCCAGTGAGACAGAATCTCTAGCTGTTTCACCTTTTTTACCTGGTTGTTATATGCAGACAGTATGAGTTATGGTGATAATTCACAATAAAATTTTCACAAAAATTATAATTTGAAAAGTTGTAAAAAAAACCCTGCTATGTGTTGCTGTATATTAAAAAATATTTTAAAGTAGCCAAAATTCAAAGTTTGCTGTGTCCTGAATATATATATCCACAGTTCCTTACAATTGTACATTTGTTTTGTTAAAAAATATTCATTTTTGCCTTCATCTGAAGCTTCTGAGATCCCAAATTACATGTAACACTGGATATTTTTTTCATAAAATATACAATGAATCTTATTACAGAGGTCTCCAAACACTTAAAAAATCTATAAAAGTAGCTATCTTAAAATTAGAATTATTAGCAACAAAACAAATGCTGTAAGGATCAAAGTTTCAGACATTTGTAAAATGGCTTGGAGCTTCAGAGTAAATGAAAATTAACTTAGATAAAAAAAGAAGCTATTATTCCAGACATGAAGTACGTAAAAAGTAACGGTGTTTCAGTTAAGCCACTGACTTTTTGCTAACAATAAAAATTGATACAAACTCTTAAAAAGTACAAGTCTTCTTTTTAATTTAAAAATGAAAATTTTACTTCTTTGGACATATTTGGTTTCAAGGAATTCCAAAAAGAAAGCCTACTGCTTGTTGGCATAAAAAAAAAATTCCATGGGATAGATATTTTCAAATCTTCTGTAACAAGTGAAGAACAAATTCAGCTACTTAAGAAAGCAAAATAAATCTTTCATCATGGAAGATGGCAGTATGACTCTACCAGAGGCTTCTTGGCAGAAAATGTGGCAATCACCACCTGTGTGATTCTCAGCCACTGAAAATTTGCTGGAAGGTCAGCTATGAGTCGACTCCAACTCAGTGGCAATGAGTGAGCGGTTTGATGTGAACATCTAAACTGTTTAAAAAAACCTCACTGATGTTTCCCTGTTTCTTACTGAGACGCCCTATTGTGTTTCAGAGGCTGTAACCTACAATAGGAGACAACCCATTTTTCTTTCTCAGAGCTGCTAGTAGATTTGAACCACTACAGATGGGAGCTCTGGTGGCCTAGTGCTAAGAAGTTGCAATGTAATGCCAAAGGCATGCGGTTCAAATCTACCAGTTGCTCTGCAGGACAGAGATGGGCAATCTCCTCCTGAACCTCTGAAAAACCACTGAAGGGTCAGCTATGCGTCAGTTCTGACTTGATGGCACACAACAACAGAGATGGAAGGACTTTGGATTAGCTGTGCAACTCTATGCTTTACACCACCAGAGGCCTTCAAAAACACTGTAGCATTATGTGATAAGCATCATTCTATGTGCTACATACATTTCTTCACAAAAACCTATGGCACAGGAGTAAGTGGAGGCACAGAGGGGTTCCTTTACTTGCAAGTATCACCAAGCTAGTATCATCTCTAGATGAAACTTCACAGTTCTAAGTCATACCAATAAGCTATTTCATATTCATTACCTAAGTACCTACAATTAATTACTATGTTTATTACCAATCATCAATTTCTTTTTAAAAAAGAAAGACAATTTTTATTTTAAGTGGTATTGTCAAAGACAATTTGTTTACTTGCAAAAAACTTGAGGTCTGTGGATTCCATTTCTCTTCTGGTCTTCCATGCCACGTATTTAAGATGCTTAAACAGACCTGTGGAAGAAGGGAGAAAAAGCCTAAACAGAAGGGAAAGAAGGAGTGCTGGAAAGCAAACTGTCACTTGGAGATGTGAAAATGAAGCATTGTATGCCAAAGTACCTAAGTTTTATGTCCCCAATAAAACCCAAATGGTTGGCTCTATCAAAACATGTTGGCATTGTCAGACATAATAAAAATCTGTATGGTATCATAATTTGTTCACAGTGAATAAAGAATCTACTGGATGTTAATATACTTTTAAAAATGAAAAATTTAACACTTTTCCAAAAACAGAAAAAAAAATAATTTATGAAAAGAATAGCACGAGGAATACCAGAATTCTTCCAATCATACTTTGAGAAACATTGAGATATGAAGATAGAAATGGGATCATCTGACAAACAGATTAACAGGTCATTTTGGGGGAAAAGGAAGAACTTGTGGTGAAAACATTATGAGCGTATTATGTTCTTCTGAAAGATGCATGAAGAAAAAAATCCATTAGAAATTTTTTATGATAAATATGTAATTTCATAAAATGGGCAACAGATCTAGAAAAGAGTTCTGCATAAAAAGATAAACAAGTCCATTTCTTAGCTAATATTTCAATGTTCTTTGTAAGCAATTATGTAAATTTTATTTACTCACTTAGCAGGCAGTTTCATTAATTATGTCTGTACAACCTTGTGTGTAATAAGCACTATCTCAAACCTCAGGTATACGTAACGTCTCATTTATCAACGATCTGATAGTATTTCACAATATCATTATATTTAACAAGTAAGGAAAAGATCGATAATCTGATTTTTATGCATTAATGACATGTATGTATGGCAAAATGAATGCCAAGATGCAGAGTAACTATGGCTGTGACAGTTAAAGTTACGAACGACCTGGAAGAGGCAGGATTCTCAGTGATTTGGCAGTTATGTAATGATGCCATTTGATAGCAATCACCCTACATTCTTGCACAACACCAATTTTTGTTTTAACATTCTGTTCTTTGGAATCTGACCATGTTGGTATGTTAGAAGTGAGTCTATTTCCAAACATGGAACCCAAGGTTAAATGTCTCTCAAGACTTGACTTTCCTCCTATACTATGAAGCTATAAAATAATTTCTTCCCCCCCACCCAAAGTAATTAGGAAATATTTTATGCCAAATTTTACTTAAAAAAGATCTTTTCAAAGAAAGAGGAATTAGCACAAATTTTCAAACCTCACATCATCATTTTATCTCGTCTACTTAATAAAACCGGAGCACCTTTATTGGAAGTGGGAACAAATATGAAATTCCAACAGAATGTGAAAAATTATTGAACAATATCAATGTTATATGCAAGTGAAATTTTGCTGAAGACTGTACAAAAAAAACGGCTAACACTATATCAATAGAAAACTGACAGAAATTCAAGCTGGATTCAGAAGAGGCCATGACACTAGGGATATAACTGCTGATGTCAGACAGATTTTGAGTGAAAGTAGAGAATACTAGAAGAATTTTTTGTTGTTGTTGTTCCACATCTATACAAAGGCATCTGACGGTGTGGTTCATAAAAATTAAGACTAACACTGTACTCATATAAGAAAATCTTCTGTCAAGAACCTCCCCAGAGTTTCCAGGATCAGTAATAGTCATTTAAGGCCTAAGGTACATCTGACTGAAGGATGACAGAGAAAACAATGCCTCTGAGTTGTGGTCTTAGATAAGAGTAATGAATATCAGACGGACTGCCGAGCGCATACACAAGTATGTTTTGAAGAAAGTGCAAGAAATAATTTCATATATAAATTTTAATATTTTATGCTTAAACTCTAAGGTTCTAAGCTCTCCAGAGTAAAGTAAGCATAATACCAATTCCATGCTGTATTACAGAAATCCTGTTCTTCGTCTTCCAAAGTAAGAATCATTGGCTTAAACTTCCAGAAATAAAACTAAAAAACTGGGGATCAGAGCTAATGCTGGAGACAACTACTTAAAACCAAAGATGTGAGACAGAGTCGAACATAAGAACTAAGAAGGGAAAACCAAGAGAAAAATTACAGATATATTTGATAAACCAGATTTGGAGCACTTGCTATTATCGTATCATTAAGGAATTTGCTTCTTAAATTCGTACATTTCTTCATACCTATTTTCTTTTTTTAAACACAGACTATGCTCAGCTCAGGATTTATCATTAAACTTTCATCAAATTGTCCAAAATGTCTCTGACAACAAATTATTTAAAATTTAACTGAAAAATATTTAGTCATGAGATGACTTTTATTATTCTTTTGCCAGTTTGTGTGTGTGTGTGTGTACAAGTATAGTTAGTTCACAACTGCCTGTACAAGGAAAACATGTAAACATGTAAAAAAGAATCAGAAATAATAACAGTATAATGCTTTTGCTATTCATCTACCCCAGTTACTTATGGGTAACTGGAACTAATATAAAGTAAGAGACAAGACAGCTAGCTCTCTTGAGCAGGCACTGCTCTCAGAATGGTATGAAACAGGCTGAACTGGGTAATCTTTCATTAACTGTTTAAGATGGTGTGTACTTCATAAGAATGCTTCTGCTGTTTTTAAGCTTCTTCTTGCTCATGCTATAGGCTAACTGGTGCAACAACAAAGTGAAATCTGAAAACAAAACAAAACTCCTAAGCAACCCAAACAAAACAAATCTCTCAAAAAACAACCACTAAGTCTTTTTGGAAAGAAGAAAATTAAAATTTTGCTCAAATTAGAGAGTCTCTGAATACAAATACATTGGTATCAGAAACAAAAAGTTGCAATGAATTACCTTGCCATCATTATAAAGGTTTGGATTGAATCGCACACTATGACCACCAGTTGTCTCAAGATTGACAAGAGGGGGTGAACTTGGATAATCTTGAGGAAAATAGACATCAAACTCAAAACATCCATTTGCATAAGGAGTGTCTGCTGGACCAGTTATCAGAACCTAGGAAATGCACAAAACCACAAAAACACTGATAATTAGAAAAATTACAATATGGCATGAAATAAGACCTTTCTTATATCCTAATATACAATTCTATTTAGGATGTGTTATACATAAATGAAAAGTTAAAAACATGGAACTAGGAAATAATTTTTTTGTTTTCTTTTTCTCCCCACCCCAGTTAGCTTTTCTCTTTAAAAAATTTTTTTCATTGTTGCACAATTCCCCTCATCCACCCACTCCCCGTTCACTTCGCTATGTACCTCTTGTTCTAGACTGTTGTCACCAAATAATACCTAATCATATATTCCTTTTAAACAGTTCTTTTCCTCATCTATTTCAATGTAGTGTACATTTATTTACCCCCTAGGAAACAGTTTTAAGTTAATATTAAGGTACTTTGCTTTAGATTGGAAATGAGATCATAAAAAAAAACAACAAATAAACCTTATGTGAAGAAGAGTCACTTTAATATAATATCTATTTAAAATACTGATTTTACCCCTCAGAAGTCTTCTGTATAACTTTTTGTGTAACATTATAAAGAGTTTGAGATTCCAGGTATATTTTTTGGCTTGCTGAAACTGAAGAGGACCTGAAGCGCCTGCTGCAGAGTGTAAAGGACTGCAGCCTACAATATGGATTGAGGCTCAATGTCAAGAAGACAAAGATTCTCACCACTGGAACAACTGGCAGCATCAGGATGGATGGTGAAGAGATTGAGATTGTACACAGCTTTAGTTTGCTTGGCTCCATAGTCAACAGTCTTGGCACCAGTAGCCAGGAAATTAAAAGGTGCATTGCCATGGGAAAGTCTTCTGTGAGGGACCTCTCCAAAGTACTGAAGAGCAGTGGTGTCTCTCTGGAGACTAAGGTGTGTCTGATACAGGCCATGGTCTTCGCAATCACTTGTTATGCATCAGAGAGTTGGACAATGACCAGGAAGGATAGAAGGAGAATTGATGCCTTTGAGCTGTGGTGCTGGAGAAGAGTATTGAGAATACCATGGACTGCTAGGAAAACAAACAGATTTGTCCTGGAAAGGGTTAAACCGGGTGGCTCCTTGGAGGCAAAGATTCTGAGGCTCCGTCTAACATACTTTGGACATGTTGTGAGGAGAGACCGGTCCGTAGAGAAGGACATCATGCTTGGGAGGGTGGAGGGACAGCGCAGGAGAGGAAGGCCCTCTATGAGGTGGATTGATTCAGTGACTGGGATAACTGGGATGGGAGTGTCAGAGACAGTGCGATTGGCACAGGACAGAGCGGAGTTTAGGGCTGTTGTACATAGGGTCGCTATGAGTCGCAAGCGACTCGACGGCACATAACAGCAAACAACATCTCAAAGATATGAGGTTATTATTTCTCTGTTAAATCATGATGTAATCACTGCTTTATAAAATATAAAGTTTTCCTGTAACATTTTATGACCAAAAGGTTTTGAGAGAACAGATTGCTGGTAGTACTTTAAGATTATTGGAGATTCGTCCTTGGGCAAATGACAAAATAATTTAAGGGGTTTGTTTGAATCATTCAACAGATACTTATTCTGCAAAGCCTGAACAGCACAAAGTCTTGGTCTTGAAGACATGTGTATAGAAGCAAATGTTACTAGTGTCACAAACTATGATATATGTACACTGGGACTCTCTGTGGAATTCTTGTGGGGAAAAAAACTTCAACAGAAAAAAAGATTGAAGTTGAACTTGTGTAGTAAAGTATTTCCTGATGTAGCAATTTTTTGAAAGGTTCTGTTGCATGTAAGAATTTAGAGGTAAGAGTGTGGACAAACAGATTATGTTTAAGGATTTTCTGAAGTTTCTGAGCATTTTGTGAGGCTTAACAAAACCACCCCCCTCCGTTTCTCTAGATCAGAAGTGTTAGCTGTTCATTTAAGGAAGAAAGACTTTTAAATCTGTAAGTTAAGTAGTGAACATAAAGAAAAAGGTTTTTAGGTGTACAATCTAGGACTTTTTTTTAAAAAAAAAAATAAATATGGATTAATTCCTTGGAATTTAAGGAGTTAGATCACTAAAGTGTTGAAATATAAATGTGCAGACAAGCACATTCATACATTTATACAAATTTCCTAAAGCAGAGACTTGGGAAAGAGAAATTTTTGAAGAATAGTACTAAAAGACAAAATAAAAGTATTCTGGTTGACAAAAAAGGAATTTTTAAACTTTCTCCCTATTTAGTAGCATTAAATCTTTTATATTGTTATGTGCCACTGAGTCAGTCTTAGCGATCTATGTCCTACCCTGTGTTATCTGTAAAACTGTGAAAGGCTGCATCAAGCTCAAGGGAAGGTAGCACCTTTGTTCCCTCACCTCTAAAATTAGATTCCGTATGGCAGACTGATCCACATAAAATTATACATGCAATTCCAAAATGATCAAAATAAAAACTGTTAAAGAATTCATGCAAATTTATGTGTAACTTTGTATAAAAATTATTTGTAAAAATCTCTGCACAGTTTGAGAAAAGGTTTTTAGAAAATTTTCATTTTTTCAGAAAAATTCATTTTCTACCTTCATGATGTCTAGTCGTTCCTCATCACAGCGCACAAATACACTGGAAGAGGATGAAAGAGGCAGTGAGGTTGAAAGCGTCACAGCTTCCTGGGCAAGGCGGCGGGCTCGGGCAGCACTGTTTGCATCATTTGCATTTTTCACCTGAGACATGTAGTGGTAATTAACTTTAAAACCCAATTTTCCGTCCTCATCTTCAGAAACCATCTCAAAAGTATCTACAAAGAGGAGACAAGTGAAAAGTACTGAATAACATGAACCTTGATGGGAAATAGTTACTAATACAATAAACATCATAAACAATGTTTTTCTCTTCCATCTAAAAACGACAAGTAACCTGAAAATGCTTGTCCAACGCCTACACACGTATAGGCAGGCTCACACTGCTACATGAATGGAGTACGTAAAGGAACCAGAAAGAAAATTTGATTTTCAATCTTTTGTAGAGACACACTGGAAAATCATATATCCAGTAGATAAATGGGAATGCAAAGAAAATTTATTCCTTAATTATGTGTAATATTTCTGCCAAAATAATTCTTAACACAAAGTGTCAACTGAAAGTACTCTTAATAGAACACATACACATATACCTATGTAGTTATAATGCAGGAGAAAAGGTATCAAGTATTTATCTTTGATTCAAATTAACTCTGTTATCCACCAAGCTTGGAGCTTTGCTACCCCAAAGGCGGTTCAAATCTACCAGCGGTTCACCGGGAGAAAATTGTCAGTCTTCTCTCATTCAGATTTACAGGCCCAAAATGCAGCTAAGACACTGTACATAGAAAACTGGAAAGACTCAATAAAAAGAAAAACCACCTGTTAGAGCTAGCAGACCAATTTAATAGCAGGGAAGGATAAAAGACCAACATATAAAAATTAATTCAATTTCTCTATAGTAACAAAGAATACACTGAAAAGCAATGAAGAAAAGCTATATTATTTACAGTTTTATTTAATAGTATATAAAGTAAAATAAATCACAAAAGGACAGATATTATGCACACCCGTGTTTATCATAGCTTTGTTCAAAATAGAGTTGGAAACAACCAAAGTGCCCATCAACAAACGAATGACAGAAAAGCTGTGGTATATTCACACAATGGAATACTACGCTGCATTGAAAAACAAAGAACTCATGTAATATTATGCAAAATGGGTGACCCTGGAGGACAGACATTATGCTGACTGAAATATCTCAGTCACAGAAGGTCAAATACTGCATACTGCAACTATTGCAAAATGGGACAGACACTGGGGTTGCGGGGACAGGGAAGACTTATACTGCATTGCACAAATAAGGGAGAGAACTGTTTAAAAGGATATATGATTAGGTATTACTGTCATGACAGGAGTCCAAAACGAAGTGGAGTGGACTGGGGGGACAGATTGTGTAACAATGAAAGAATTTTTCTTTTACTTTTCAAAGAGAAGAGCAAACTGTGGGTGGGGGCGTAGACAGGGAGCAAAGTGCAACAATGAATGAATGGAAATCCAGAGTCTCAGTAAACTTTCATTCAAATTATATTAATAACACCTAAAAAAAAAAGAAAGAAAAACGAAAAAAAGGACAGATCCTGTATAAGACCACTACTGTGACAACAGGAGGTAACTAGGATGAGGGTGGGGTAAAACCAGGAGAGTGAAAATTGAAAGTGCAGACAGTGAAAAGTGGAAACAACTGACCAGGGAGCATCAATATGGGAAATAGTGACAAAAGAACAATACGGCTACTGCATCTGGCATACAGGAATAAGATAGGTGTAACTGTTCAAAGGGGCACGGGAAAGGGAATAAGGGGAGGATCAAGAAGGGGTAGGGGATAAATCACTAGGGTAGCAGAAAGAATAGGTAAGGTGCAATGGGGTTTGATGAGACAGAGTGAAAAAAGGCATTGATCAACAGTAGTAATATAAACAATGTATAGGAACAATTGTATGAAACCAATTTTAAAATATAGTATTTATAGCCTCAGGAGTAGAAACTGATGCAAAAGCAGTGAGGGTTTTGTTGTTATTGTTGTGTGATAGACTGATCTGAGTCCCTCAGTGGTAAGAAGCTGCACTCAACCCAAAGACATGCAGTTCGAATACACCAGCAGCTCTGCTGGAGGATGGGCCATCAATCTCCTTCCTGCAATGTGCTGCCTGTGAAAATCCATTGGAGGGTCAGTTATGGGTTGGTTCCCACGAGTTGGTACTCAGCAACAACAACAACAATATACCCATAGACAGGGAGGTCTGGTGGCCTAGTAATAAGAAGCTGTGTTGCAACCCCAAGGGTATGTAACTTGAATCCACCAGATGTTCCACAGAAGAAGGACAGGTAATCTCTTCCCAAGTGATTTACTGCCTCTGAAAATCAGCTAGAGGGTCAGCCATGAGTTGGTTCTGACTTGATGGCAAATAACAAAATACTTATAGATATAATCCTTCTTGGGAAGAGAGTTTTCTTAGCTATGTCAACGATGTTGATCTTATGTGCCATCGAGTCATTTGTGACTCACAGCGACCCTATATACAATAGCTCTAAATCTTGCTCTGTCCTGAGCCAGTCTCACTGACTCCAACACATCTACCCTAATATCCCAGTTACTGTGTCAATCCATCTCATCTTGGGTCTTTTCCTGTGCTGTCCCTTTACTCTTCAAAGCGCAATGTTGTTTTCCAAGGACTTGTCCCTCCTGACCATGTTGATCAAAATGGAGCTTCAAAATCCTAGACTCCAACAAAAAACTCAGTTTCATCCTCTCCAATATAAATACTATACCAATGACATATAGGGGCAGACTCAAGCTAACAACACTCAAGGGAAGCTAAAAACAAGGTCTGTTGTTGCTGTGTACCATCAAGTCAGAACCAACTCACAGCTCTTTTTTTTCTTCTGTAAACAAAATGTACATTGTATTAGACTTTCAAAGTATGGCAACTACGCGAACATCTATGTATTCTGAATTCCATTTGCATTTTCTTTTCACTACAGTCTTCTGGTATGGTTCTGAAGTAAGGAAAGTAAATACATATAAAAAAATTAATACTGAAAATAAAAATTCTGAAATTTAAGTATTCATTTATAGACTCAGTAGAGGTACTTTTCAATGTTTGTTTTTTTAAGAGTTCTGGGATTTAAAAAGGCTAAAATTGAAGTATATGAAGCTCTGTTTTCTAAAAAGGTATGATGATTGTTTATAATGTTAAGAAATTCAGACAGTTAAACATTCAAGGGTTTGGCTTCTTTCTATGCAGGATTAAAATAGTAAAGAGACCTATTTCTTAGATATTTGGTCCTTTGATTTTATTTCTTAAAGGTTCCCAGTCCTACTGAATTAATGATTTTCAAACACAAATAAAAATTCAAAACAGATAAAAATTTTCAAACAGGGTAATTCTGATTTCATTCAAGTGTAAAATCTTTAATTTAGCTAAAATAATATATTTTTAACAGCAGTGTTAGGAAATGCTAAATGAGATACAACAAATAAAGATTAAAATTTTAACTTACCAAATTGTAATTTCTTCATGACAGCCACATATTTTTCTTCCAGTGATTTTAATACTGACAATGGCTTGGGTTTCATAGCTGCCTTCTTTGAGTATTCACCAAGTTTTTTTTCTGTTATATAATATTTCAAGATCAGTAATGAATATTCATTTCTAGATATTAAAACTAAAACCAATTTACTTCTGGAATTCTAATTTCGAATCCCAAATAACTGTCACTATCATTACACTAACTTCTGATTCTATCCTTTTACAAAGATTTCTTTCCCCTCTCTACTTCACAAACTTGAAAACCAGATAAACTGCAAAACTTAAAAAGTTAGGGAGCTCTGGTGGCTTAGTGGCAAGAAGCTGCATTGCAATCCCAGAGGTAAGCGGTTTGAGTTCACCAGATGGACTTCTCTGCTGGAGAAGAAGGGGCAATCTCCTCCTGTACCAGTCAGATCTGATTTGATGGTGTGTACACACACACACACACACACACACACACACTCTCTCTCTCTCTCTCTCTCTCTCTCTCTCTCTCAAAAGACAACTTCACCCCCCCTTAAAATGTTAAAATATATTATTAGGGCAAAAAGCCAAAAAACAAAACAAAACAAAACAAAAAACACCAAAAAACCAAAACAAACCCTTCCCCAAAAAACCAAACCCAAAAGCACCTAAACCGAAAGAATAGCCCCCAGATAATTCAGAATCACTTCTTATGCTGCTAATCTATGAAAATATAAAATTCCCATGGTCTTAATGTACTCTGGTACATTAAGGTTCACTTAATACAGTGGCATTTTTCAATCCCATGACCTTCTGTGGAAGGAAAACTGAAATAATATCCTGTTGGTCTACTCTTAGCAATTAATCATGCCTAAACTGGGGGGGGGGGAGAAAAGGGGGTGCCTATTCAAAATTAACTTGAAAACTTGATAGAAAATGAAGGTTTTAGTACATAAATTTATCTCCAAACCATTAACAACACACAGAAGGAAGAGAAAGGCAGTGTCCAGCAGACAAACTAGAGTCTAGATAAAAAAAATTACAGAGCGACATCAGTAGCAATACCTTGATTGGCCTGCCTCAGACTGGTGGTAGCTGCATAAACTATCTCAGCAGTCTTCTGGATGTCTGGTACCAAGAGAGTAAGGCCTTCTGGTTCTTGATCAGAGGCATCTGGTTTTACTCCTGTTTTAGCATTTTCTCTTTTAGATCTGTTGTTTTGGGTGGTTGGTTTTGGTTTGTTTTTTAATATGGAAAGAAATGAAGGGGAAAATGAAATTTTAGGACCGAAATATAAACATCATCTGTCATCTTTAAGTTACTAATACTGGTTAAAAATAAAACTGTATTTTAACATATAAGTATATATATTAGGATAATTTGTTAGAATCAATGTTGCTTTGAAGTCATGGTACAATTGCCGAAAATAAGAAATAAAAGACTGGATAACTTTTGTCTTCAAATGCAAAACCTGGTAAGAAATAAACAGTGTTGCAACAGTAGAATAGGAAAAAAGTCCAAATAACAAAAATGTTCTTAGATCTACATCTTTAAATGCATATGTAAGACTATAAGCAATTCCTGGGTTGTAATGATCCAACTTAGTCATAACTCAGATATAAAAACTACCTTGTGTTAAAATGCATTCTATTAAAATTAAAGGTACATACTATATTCATAAAAATAAGTAGGTGCTTGCTAATTTGAGATATACCTCAAAATATTTTTATAATCTTACCACTATTATGTTCCATGTATCTAGGAGTGTTTCTCTCTCTTTTTTAAAAAAATAAATAGAAAGGGAGAGTACATACGGTGTCCCAAGATAGGGATCTTTGGTTGCCTAGAGGGTAGAAAGTGCACTGCCAACTCAAAGACAAGAAGTATCTACCAGGCAGCTCCACGGAGAAAGATGGGCAATCTCCTCCTGTAGGATCTAAAGGTCTTTGAAAATCCACTAGAGGGGGGACTAGAAGTTAGTTCCAACAACAACAAATGTTCCTAAGTCAAACATTTGCCAAACTACAACTACATATGATTGATACCTAACTGTTATAACGTATGTAAAATTTAACTTCAAGACAGAGTCATGACTGAAATTTGTTTGTAATCCAGGGATTGCCTGTAATTACAGTATCATTATGAAGAAGAATCAATTCTGGTTCTCCTTGGACCACTGATAGTTGAGAATCAAAGAATTCAGTTTTTAAAATTTAATACAATGTATCTTTTACTTATTGAGAATATTAGTCCTTTGCCCACTTTTTCCCAGGCCTAAAAAAGAGGACTTACTTCAATGAAAAATGTAAGCACACTACTACCTTTCTTTGTGCTTGCAAAATTTTCTGGACAATAGTAAAAGTGAAGGATATTTTACAGCCATCCTTCTATTATTTTCTACTCAGGGTCTTAAACACATCCAACCTCTAATTAAACTGTGACTCACAATAGGATATATAATGGCAGGATTATAGTATATAAACCATCAAAGTATTTCTTTACATTTTCTTTGTAAATGTAGTAATATTAAATTATAAGAAAAATATTAAATATTCATTTCCTTTTGTCTATTTAAGCTTGCAACATGTAAGCATTATGAAACTATTGTATAGACAAATTTTGACTAAGTGGGCAGGGAGCCTTGAAGAACTTTAAGGAAAATAATGGAAGATATAAGAGTCTTTAAAGTAACATGACATTTAGATACAAAGAAACTTGTTCTTTATATTAAAGATCAAAGATCTGCAAAGGAACAATTGAATGCTTAACAGATTAGTAAATGAATCAGATCCACATAATTATCCACATAAACAAATTTCAGTGCTACAGATATTGTTTTGAATTTGTTCCTATAGTGTGTGAAAAGACTAACACCCACAGGTATTTTTAACTCTAAGGTTTATACTGCCTCACCTAACTTAAATGAGTATGATTTAAAGTGATTGAGCATACTACTTCACTGAGTCACTGCCTCTTCCCTTATGCTTCCTTCTTATCTTCCCTGTTTAAGAAGCCACAGATCACATGGTCACTTTGCTTTGCCACTACCTGGCAGATGTTATACTACAGATTATTTCAATCATCAATTTCTGTGTTTGTATGTGTATATGAATATAAGTGTAAGATCTGAGTGTGTAAAGAGAATACAGTGAATGGTTTAACTTCAAAACATCAGGTATTGTAGCTAACGTTGATGTAAAAGAAGGTATTTTCTTAAACCATGAAATAAAGTTAAAATTATAGTTCAATAGTGGTTTTGACCATTTTCTTGGCGTACATCTATGATTCTGGCAAAGGAACTAACTAGACTCTGAAGTTCTCCATTACCAACCATTATCAACAACCAAGGTCTTAAAACTGAGAACCAAGAAAGTTCAGAAGCTACTTGACAATATTCCTTTTGAATTTATAAGGACTCTCTTCCCATAATCTCTCTCTAAAAACAGGGCTTTAAAATATTTGAATAATAGAGCTGTTAAAGCAAAACAAGGAAACAACATCAACTAGTCTGAGAACAAAGGAAGAATTATGGTTATAGTTGTAGTAAAATAAAGATGATTTTTAAAGATCTATCTTCAATCAAGTTGAGGCAGTACACTCACAAATAAAATTCCACTCAACAAATATCTTGTCACGCAGTGAAGAAAGATATGGGAGTTTGAGAATTAACAGTATTTTTTCTGAAGACAAAAGAGAGTCTCTTGGCTTAGAGAAAAAGGTATCAGTATAACAGGGTTTTACTGAGTTCACCACATCAATATGTAAGTTACTTCGAAAACTACGGATTCAAAACCTCATGCCTTAATAATGAAAACCAACTTCCTAATTCTAGCATTTAAAAGATGATTAGTAGCCGAAATCTTGCTATTAAATATGCAAGATCCAGCAATATTTAAATAAGTATTTTTTTAAAAAAAACCCCAAATACATGAAAGAAGTCACCTCATACATCTCATACTGAAGACAAAGATTGAATCACAAAGTAGATAAAGAGTTTAGAACTTTATACCAAGTTCCAATGAAGAATTTTTACTGGATAGCCCTTCTGACAAAATTACATGTCAAAAAAGGGGTAACTGTGAAAAGCTAAGAGCACTTCAAAATGCCAAAAATACACCAAACTACCTGCCTAGTAGTAACTGTACCTGGTCACTGTGTGACATTAAACTTATGCCAGTAGTCTTTTTCTAGAAAAATTACAGGTTATGGCAACCCATATGTAGGCCCAGCTCACGAAAAAAGGCCATACCTTGGCTCACATCCTGAGGTCTGTGTGAAAAGCTATTTGAGTTCAAGGCACCTAGCTGGAAGTAGGTCTTTGAGACTGACATTGGATCCAACATGGTAAAAGCAATCAGCGACGGCCGCTACCATGGTATCCGCTGCTTTGTGCATACGTTGAATCTGGTTGTGATCACTGCCCTGAAGAAATATGAGGAAGCAACTGAAGTTTCTACTATTGTACAGAATTATCTCCAAACATTTTCCACTATACTGTGAATTCCACTAACCAGCTAACAATTAAGGAAATTCTGGGTCTGAGATATAATCTGAGTTAGGATGTGAGCAAAATGGGCAAACCTTTCTTGTAAAAACAAAAGAAAAAAGCCCCTCAATATTCAGTAATAAGAACTTCCTCTTCTGATACTACTTCCCCCAAGTAAAATAAAATATTGATGAGACTAAACACACCATATCAATATTATGTTCTTTTGAAATCCAGAACCTGAACATAGTTTAAAATTGCCCTTTTCTTGGTAGAACAAAAGCAAAAAAATCCTTTAACCTTAAATCTAAAGCCAAAACTATCAAACAGTTGAACACATTAAAAGTAAAGCGATTTGAAAAAAAAATAATATGGAGGCTATATACTGAAGTGTCCAGATTCAGAACTATTAAGAGTCTAAAGTTCCAAGAGAATAAAATGTCTTTATTTAGAAAACAATTCATCACAACATACTCCTAAGTTCTAAAGCTCTTTTTTAGGAATTGTTTAAGACCAATTATTATAAAAGATCAAAATATTAAAAGGAATATATTACAGTGGAGAAAGGTTTGCTTCTAAAGCCTTCAGAAAACATGAAAATAAATCCCTAAACGCATTAATACACTGGGCAAAGATCTCTGTAGGATGAACACATTTCATGATTAAGTCAGAGCTTTATTTTAATTCTTGAGTCATTAATTTCTACATACAATCTTTCTTAAAAAAAAAATCCTAGATTGGGAATTATAAACTCACAAAAAAGAGAAACTGTCTTTTTGTAAATAAAGGTCTGGGACATCTTTAAAAAACAAAACTTTGATTTATAGATTAGTTTAAAATATTGAACATCAGTCTAAATGTCATTATTGTTGCTACTGTTAGGTTCTACCAAGTCGTTCAAGACTCATCGTGACCCTATGAACAATGCCACAGGATATAAAAAAAAAGGGTGCTAATGGGGAATGGCTTATAATAATATATGCTTGACTAGTTCACCTGGCATATTTGGGCATGCTACAAGGAGGGATCGGTCCTTGGAGAGGAACACCATGCTTGGAAGTATGGAGGGACAGTGTAGAGAGGAAGACCCTCGATGAGAAAGATCCAGGGCAATGGACGTAGTACGTATGTCAGAGACAGTGTGGTTGGCACAGGATAGAGCAGGGTTTAGGGCACTTGTACACAGGGTTGCTATGAGTCACAAGCAACTCGACAGCACATAACAACAACAACAACAATATACAAAAGGTAGCTCTCCTGGGGATGTAGTGGTAACGAGTTGCTGCCAAGCCAAAGGCAGGTGAATTCACCAGTGGCTCCAAGAGAGAAAGCTGGGAAGTCTCGTCCAGTGTGATTTATTGCCTTTGAAAACCCACTAGAGGGTTAGCTGTAAGTCCGTGTGACTCAATGGTTCACAACAACAAAATATAAAGGGATAACCCAAATGAGGCAAAAGAGAAATATTAAAGTTGCTATCACTGTCTATCACCAACTTTTAAAAAAGGAAAATGAACAAGTGAATCTGAACAAGGTAATCAATAAAAGTAAAACAAACAAGCAAACAAACAAAAAGAACCCAAGCCCTTGCTGACAGAAAAATCAGTACATCTAATTTTTATGTAGGTTTGTGAGGCAGAGGCAATGGAGGAAAACACTAGGAGACACTTTCCCAACAGAAGTCATAGTATGGATGGAAGTAAAATTCGTTAAGTAACAGAAATGCTG